AAGGAGGCCATCTTTGTGAAAAGAAACCGTCCATCATTAAACAGGGGCGGAGCCTCCGGGTTCAACTGTCCCCCTCTTACAATGCTGTGATTGCTAGTATCACTCAGCCCCCTGTGAACAGTAAACAGCCATCAGTGTGCTAATGATCCATTGTTAGGCTGATGGTCCTTCTTGAGCATGTGATCAGCTGGTTCTGGTTGTCAGCAGCAAACTGGTTGATCCACTCTGAGAAGGTGCTATTTAAGAGACTGAGCTGAAAACAGCACCTCAGACTGAAGAAGTCTCTCGGACGAGAGACGAAACGTTTCTAGATTTTTTTGTTGATTTGATTTGTTTTGAATGTCCAGAGGACCAGATTGAACTTTTTTAGATTTTTCTACCTGGATTATTGTGCATGCATCAGGATATTTACTTATATCGTACTTTTCTTTCTTATCAAGATACTCAAAGCTCTTTACAACAATCTGTGCCTTATTTACCCATTCACACAGCTCTATACTAGATCTCTACAAAGACTAATCAGAGCTTTATCACATTTATACACTGATGGGGCGGCTGTGGCTGAGGGTTTAGAGCAGTCGTCCTCCAATGCAAGAAGTTGGGGGTTCGAATCCACCAGCAGTCACATGTCAAAGTGTCCATGGGCAAGACACTGACCCCCTCATTGTCTCCAATGTGTGTCCCATCAGTGTATGAATGTGATAAAGCTCTGATTAGTCTCATTAGAATGATTTGTTCAATTATCTTTGTAGAGATCTAGTAGAGTGCTGTATGAATGAATGAGGCACAGATTGTTGTAAAGATCTTTGAGTATCGATCAGAAAGAAAGGCGCTATATAAGTACAGTTCATTTACCATGGGACACACATCAGAGACATTGTCTTGCCCAGGGACATTTTGGTATGTGACTGCTGGTGGAATTGAACCCCCAACTCTTGCATTGGAGGACGACTGCTCTAACCACTTGGCCACAGCCCCACAGGATTAACCTTCCTATCCTGTTTCTTGTCTCTTGTGCAGGTGAGACGCTCCTTTGGCCTGAGCAGCCTCCAGTTGACGTACTTTGATGAGGAGAATGAGGAGGTGAGAACGCTCCGCTCATGTTTTCTGATTCCCACAACCCACCAGTGAAACATCTGTACATGTTAGCTTCTGGGTAACTGGCAGAAATAGTTAAGACATCTTCTTTCTTTCCACCAGATATCCATTAACAGTCAAGGTAAGACAACTGACAAAAAAGTCATCAAGAAAATGTAGAAATGGTTGGTTCTGTTAGACTTGTTGTTTTTTCTTGCAGGGGAGTATGAGGAGGCACTGAAGGTAAGAAGATCATGTAAACTTTATTGATAATTCGAGTGAAAATGTTGAGTTCATTATAGAGCAAACATTTCTTATTTGTCCTCACATTCTTTCTTACTGAAGCATCAGGATGTGTGAAAGATGTCAAACAGTTTAACTTGACTTATTTGTCCAGAGTGCAGCAAAGCAGGGGAACCACCTCAACATGAACATGTGTGAGACCAGAGGACATCCAGCCAGGCTCTTGTCCACCAAAGTCAGTGGAGCCGAGCCAAAGAGAGGTTTCAGAGCCACGCAGCACTGCCCCACGCTAACTCAGGCCATCAGCCGCAAGGTTCAGGCCGTGGTAACAGAACCCAGCATGGTGAGGCAGCAGGAACTGAGGCCGCTTTGTCTGACATGTTGGTGTTAAACTTACCATGTTAGAGTCAGACTGCTCGTACAAATATCTTCTCATCTTTATTTTTAAACATGAATACAATCTCCACTATTTATCAGTCATGTACAACAACTAAAAAAATAAACTAAAGTGAAAATTCAAGGTTTGTGGGACGCTCCTAGTCAACATGACTACGTACAGGTACATACTGCTACCATCGCTTCTGTTCTACACAGATCAGTTCTGGTAACATCAGGTTTAACTCTAGAAAGTATTGACAGAAATCCACCTAACAACAAACAAACAAATATGCTGGTGAAGATTTTCAGTCATCCAGGAAATGGTCAATTCAAGAAAGTTCAAGAGAAAAACAACTGGACTTTATTTGTAACAGATGTTTCACTTCTCATCAGAGGAGCTCCTCGGATGAGAAGTGAAACATCTGTTACAAATAAAGTCCAGTTGTTTTTCTCTTGAACTTTTTTGAACAAACAAACCAAACAACAACAAAGCAAACTGAGCAACAAACAAATCAAACAACAAACAAAACAAACCTACAAACTAACAAGGTTAAGTCAGATCCTCTGGAAGGATAAAAAAAAATTGTTTTAAATATTTTATTTATTTATTTTTAATTTTTTTAAATGTTATTTATTTACACATTTTTTGAATCCGCCCAGAGAACCTGATTTAACTTTGTTACATTTTTCTCCCTGGATTATTGAGCATGCATCATTCATTCAACCTTAATTTCTACAGGTAAATCCCATTGAGCCTCGAGGACTCATTTACAGAGACACCTGATTTAACAAAGAAAGATGACAACAATGGACAGTTATAAAAAGGCATACAGATAGTTTTTTTTTTTTAACAGATTAAAATAAAATCGACACCGAAAGGACTGTGTAAAGGAAAAAGTAGTGGAAAAAACAGCTAGATTATGAGCTGATGTAGAAAACGAAAAACAGGAACATGTCTGCGTTGGTTCTTGCAGGAACTTATCAGATGTTTAAAGCCACTTAGAGAGGTCAAAGGTCGAGAGCTTCAGATCTTTTTACAAGATATTCCAGGAAACAGGAGCGGAGTAGGAGAAGGTCCTTTTGTCTAGTTCAGTCCTCACTGAGGGAACACTGCAGGTAATGATGTCCTGAGAGCGCACGCTGTAGCTGCACTCACACAGAGACATGTAGGAGGAGATGTATGAAGGCAACAGACCAGGAAGTGATTTAAAGATGAACATGTACCAGTGAGAGAGTCTGTGTGATGTTAATGGTGACCAGTTAACCAGTGAATACTGGGTGCAGTGGTGGGTACGGTAGTTACAGCCAGTTATGAATCTTAATGCACCATGACAGACAGCATCCAACATCTGCAGCATCCAACATCTGCAGGGTTCTTGTCAGAATCAGAATGTCTTTATTGTCATTATATGCAAATACAATGAAATTAAGGTCGTTTTCACACCAGATAGTCCGGTAGACTCAGTTCGGTTCTGGACCAATATTCATGACCTTTTGTTACATTTGAGCTGGTGCGTTTGCATTCACACTGCACTGTGCAGTCGAGTCAACCTGTTGAACCAACCTGTTGAACCAACCTGCTCCCCCCCCTCGCCTGTGGGGGCGCTGCACCAAGAACTACTGAAAGAAACGACACAAAAACCTCTGAAGACACTTCTTCTGGAAATAAAAATAAAAACGAAGTGGCATCAAGTTTTATCAGTTTTAGGAGTTATATTTTGTTATTTTTCAAAAATGGACTCAGCATGAGCAGAAGATGAGACAGAAGACCATGGAGAATATTGTTTTCCACACAAGTCAGCTGACGGCTCCATATGAGGCCAGAGAAATGTGTGTTTGTTTGTCCTGCGGAGCGGGGCCCGGTCTGATTACATTCACACTGTACTGGAACTGCGCTGGAGTTCTCTTCTACTGGACCCAGACCTAGGTTTTAGCCCGGGCCAGAGTTCACCTTTTTGTTCCGTGACAGAGTTCGATGGCGCGTTCACATCTCCCTAAACGAATCAAACTTTCTAGGAAAACGAGCTAGAGTTCGATTAAAGCGACTAAACAGTGCTGGTGTGAATGCACCCTAAGAGCCACTCCTTTTTTCAGTGCAAAAACATGCTTAAGAAAAACACACACTAAAAATATAAAAAATGTAACGCAATATAGATATAATAGCACTATGAAAGTAAAAAATACAAGTATTTCACAATTATATTGCACATTATGGATATTAGTGAAGTAGTTAAGGTGACTGAGAGTATGGAATGTCAGTAGTATTGTACAATAGAAGTCCAGGTGTTTGGGAGGTTAGATTATTAAATCAGTGCATGTGTGAGTTCAGTGTGGTGATGGCTTTCAGGAAAAAACTGTTCTTGAATCCGTTTGTTCTTGTTCTGATGCACCTGTAGCACTTCTCTGAAGGTGTAACAAGTCAAACAGTTCAAAACCCGGGTGTGAACAGTCCTTGATTATGCTTTCTGCTCTGTTGAGGCAGCGTGATGTGTAAATGTCCATCAGGGAGGGGAGAGGGCAGCCAATGATCTTTTGTGCTGTCTTCACTACTCTCTGAAGCCTCTCCCTGTCAGCCAGGAGGAGCTTTGTAGGAACGTTCATGTAAATAATGTCACCGTAATCAATGGAGGGAAGGAAAGTCACAGATACAAGGTGTTTCCTAACATTCAGAGTTAGACAGGATCTGTTTCTGAAAAAGAAACCCAGTTTAACTTTCAGTTTCCTTTAGGGATGCACCGATTCACATTTTTTATAACTTCCGATATCTACAGGTCCTTCTCAAAAAATGAGCATATTGTGATAAAGGTCATTATTTTCCATAATGTAATGATAAAAATGAAACTTTCATATATTTCAGATTCATTGCACACCAACTGAAATATTTCAGGTCTTTAATTGTTTTAATACTGATGATTATGGCATACAGCTCATGAAAACCCAAAATGCCTGTCCCAAAAAATTAGCATATTTCATCCCACCAATGAAAGACAAGTGTTTTTAATACAAAAAACACCAACCTTCAAATAATCATGTTCAGTTATGCACTCAATACTTGGTCGGGAATCCTTTTGCATGAATGACTGCTTCAATGCGGCGTGGCATGGAGGCAATCAGCCTGTGGCACTGCTGAGGTGTTATGGAGGCCCAGGATGCTTCGATAGCGGCCTTAAGCTCATCCAGAGTGTTGGGTCTTGCGTCTCTCAACTTTCTCTTCACAA